CTGAACTGACTTCAAAGGACAAGTAAGGGTTAGCTAAGGGAGTGAGGAATGACCCAGACCCAGGATGAATACACAGGTCAGATAATGAGACAGTCTTGTGGTTGGCCTGCATGACTGGGATGGCATAAAAGGGAACTCTGCCTAGAACTTTCTATCCCTGAACAATCACCATCAGTGCTATATAAAACATTCTAACATAAATATTACAAAATCTGCAAATTATCTGACAAACCTCATACTACTCTCTCAGGTAAGTGCCCAAATTGTCAGTTTCATGAGAAAATAAAAGCTGATTTCATTTGTTTGATCTCTGTTAAAGCCAGCAGAAATGATTTATTGATTTTTTTAAAGGAAAATATATTTTTAAATACCACTTTTTGCAAGCATCTTATTAATAGATGTGGAGATTTCATATACCCCAAACATACTTGTAGATACAAAAATTTTAACAGTTTTGAGGAAAATCAATAGAATAATCAGAAAACTCATGAAAAGATGAATAAAGAGCAAAAAATTACATATCTTGCTGTCAGTGTTATTTTTTTTAATGTTCAAAGTTTGCATTTTGTTACTTCTCACTTGGGTCCAAATGTACCTTAATGGGTTTTCTGTTTGTTTTGTTTTGCCATAAAAATTCAAGTTAACACATAAATGAAGCACATACTCTGAACACAGCTAGGGTAATGCAGAAGCTCAAAGCAAGGTGTAGGTGTAGGAAGAACTCCTGTGCACTTCTGTAAAGCCTGGGAGATCACATTGCCCACTGCGTTTGTCAGTATGCTCACGTTCACATGCCAGGTGGAAGTCTATTTGAATGGGGTTGAATGCTTAGAGGAAGTTTGTTCCTCCCAACAAACTTCCTTTCCTTTTTTAATTTTTATTAAATATAGTTGGTTTACAATGTTGTATTAGTGTAGTAAAGTGATTCAGTTGAGTATATATTATTTCAGATTCTCTCCCATTATAGGTTATTATAAGATATTGAATATAGTTCCCTATGCTATACAGTAGGACCTTGTTGTTTATCTGTTTTATATATAGTAGTTTGTATCTGCTAATCCCAAACTCTTAATTTATCACTCCCCCCCTTTCCCCTTTGGTAACTATAAGTTTACCAACAAATTTTCTTTTGTCAGACAAGAACTCGCCTTGCTCTTTTTCACTTGATTATTAGGAAGCTCCTAGCCCTTCTTGGCCTAGGCTTTCTTTCCATTCATCTGCCACCTCTTGGTTTCATTAGGTTATTTGAAAGAAAAATCCTAGAGCCTCTGTGAGTTTCACTGAAACTGCTTAAAATCTCCAATGGAAGTAGAAGGGTTAAAAGTAATGGTAACATCAAAGAATGGTGGTTTATCACAGGAATGCAAAAGCAATCGAATTTGAGTCCTCACCATAGACGGAACATTATCAAAGTGGCTACACCCATGCCTTTTCCCAGTATAGTGGAGGCCCTGTACATAAAGTTCTCCTACCTACTCCCTCCTCACTGGATAGAGCAGATAAGCAGTCCAGAGGTATTTGTGTGTAGTGATTTTACAAATTATTATTACAACATATTATTAAATAATATTACAAATTAATATCATATAACTTATGTATATTATTATTTCGATAGTAGTCCACAACTAGTAAGTCATAACAAAGCGTTGTGACATCTGCCATCATTTTGGGTTATAGATGCAGAGAGACTATTCCACAGTTTGAGTGCCTGAGAATGTTTTTTCATATGCCTGTGCTGTTTCACCTAATGGCTGGAGCTCATTATTGGTAACTGATTATTAAAAAACTGAGGTCATCTGGAGTCAGTGACTCTAAGCAGACGGAATGTTTTGCTAAAGCAGTACTAGAGCTGCTAAATGAACTGGCTTAGCCGAACAAAAACGTGTATTCTAGCTCCCTATGAGTTGTTATTTTTTAAAAAATTAGCATAAAATATTGCTAATTGAGTGTCTAGGCCCCTACATGGTAAAGGGGACTTTAGATGAACCTAACAAAACAGTACCATGAAAAGAGCAGTGGAAGAGGATCTGGGTGTAGAACCGGTTCTACACTGTCTAGTTTTGTCGTTTCTCTGGGCCTTCATTTCTTCAGAAGAGGAGGGGCTGAGTCTAAAGATTTTCACTGGGTCTCACAGTTGAGAGGGAACGCAGATTTCTCTGTCGAAATTCAACTAAACTGAGAGTCTAATGGTATCCTCCAGGCAGGTAGTGGTGTGTGAGGCACAGTCTTATTTTAGCACAGAGACCCTGAAATGCATCTGCTGTCTTTGCCCTGCCTACTAACCTTGAGTAGGACGCTTGAGTGGGTGCTTGTGCAAGGTCCTTTGTTTACGATAGTGTCTCTTTGTCAGCTAGATGTGCACTTTGAGTAGTTTCTCTTTTTCCTTCGAAAGGTGAGGATGGATTCAGGTGGAATTACCCATATTCTCCTACTCTATCCTTTTAAAATTCATGAGATAGATGCCAGGGTGTATATGTCTCCAATGAGCGAAGCTCAGTCGGGGTGACTGCAGCCTAGTGGTTAAGAAGGTAGGCTCTGGAGTGGGAGTCATTTTGGCCCCATTCCAGTCCTACGATTCATTTGCTGTGTGACCTTGGACAAGTTATTCGGCCTCTGTGCCCTAGCCTCTTCAAATGTAAAATGGGGAAATAGTTGACCCTACCTCTCAGAGTGTAGAGCATTTGGGGCAAATGTCTGATACAAAGTAAAAGCCCCATTAACAGACCACTGTCGTTGCTTTATTCCTGTGTAATAAGGGGCATGGACCTATGGCCTGGATCTTATCACAACCCCGTTGTGAGCAACTGAAAGGAGAATCAGAGAGGAAGAGCGGAAGGGGCGCCTGAAGACCTCTCTGCGAGCGGGAAGGATGGTGCTTAAACCATTCCCGGGAGATGGATGTTTATGCTCCCCTTACAGCTCTTTAGGGAATAAAATTACCTCTAGCTTTCACTTGCCTAATTCAATGTCTGACAACTTCCCTGGCTCGGGAAGTTATTCTTTCTGTGTGGCTTAATTACCTATTGTTGCAGTTTCAGTTTGGGATGAAGGAAAGTTAGTGGGTCTGACTCTGAGATAAAGGGTCTGCCGAAAAACCACTGGGTTGGACTCAAACACTCATTCTCGGCAAACGGGTGCGGGGCTCAGGTCTGCCCTGTTGAGGTGCCCCAGGGGCTCTCTGTGCACATCTGCAGGGCGGCCAGGAGGGAGGGACCATGGGCGGCAGGGGCGGCACTTATCAGGGACCTAGAATGCTTGGCTCTGGACTCCCACCCCCACTGTAACCTGAGCAGCTTCATATTCATGCTTTCTCTGTACTTGCTTGAGAGATTTCACCAGGAGAAAGGGTTATGCAGATAAAAGAAAAATTTGAAAACCTGGAGGCCAGTGTATGTCTCCAAAAAGCTACCCGACATGACAGGTCACTTGACAGCTGACTCGGTTACTTCTTGTCTCAGCTCCTCTGAGCTGCCTGTTGGAAAGCAGCAGCATCCTGTGTGTGAGTGCGTGCGCACGTGCTCACAGTGATGGTGGGAGAGGGAGGATAAATGGGAAAATTTACAGGGAGTGGAACTTTATAAATCTAAGATATAATTATTATGAGACTGGAAAAAGCCCCCTCTAATATATTCAAGGGAATCATCTTGACCCAGCCTTGTGTGGGGGAGCCCCTGGGAATTAATAGAGGGTTTTCACCTCTAGCCTATATGATGGGGTGACAGTGATTGTAGCCCAAGATTGAGAGCAGAACCATGTGGCACATGCCCACCTAATGAAATAGGTTCCGAGGGGTATTGACCAAAGTAAAGGGAGTGAATACAGATTGTGCACGGGAAGATTTATGCCCACTGAGTGCTGTGCAGCAATGGGCTTGTAAGCCCTTCCCGCCAAACACTGCCCTGGGCACACGTTAAGGCGAGGCATTGAGCCTCGCTGAGCACTGCATCCTCGTCTCTGACGGACAACTTAGTTGTGTTCAGGCTTTTAAGTAATGGCCTCAGAGGATGGCCTTGGAGCACCGGAAGGTTCAGAAGGAAACTCCTCTGCCAGCCTGAGTCCAGGACAACATGGGTCTCAGTCCCTTCTCTTGAGCTTAGCAAGAATGGGAACATCACTCAGGACTGTGTGAGTGGGAGAAGGCTGTCTCCTAAAGCAGCAGTGACCCCAAAAGTCATGTTCAAATGATGAGATTTCTCTGCACACTTGGTTGTAAGTTCCTGACGGATGTAAACTTCTCTTCGGATGGGTCTCTGATTTTCTCCTGCTTGGGCAATTACTCTGATGGAGACATTTAAGGTTAGGCTGACAGCCTTGACTCCCTGTGATACAATCTATTAGATGTGTTACATAACTTAGTACTTACACCACCCTGTGAGGGTAAGTGGTATCTTTTCCATTATACAGATGAGGAATCTGTGGTATCTTCTCTCTTATACAGAATCTGAGGTCTCGAATTTATAGGACTTGCTGATGGTTGGTGGAGGCAGAGTTAGAATCTATATATGATTGATTTTAAGATTTGAAAGAGGAAGAAACCAGATGCCATCCCACTGCTAAAAATTGGCCTGAAACCAGCTTTACATATAGCAGATCTGCTTTAAAAAACCCTCTCTCTTATTTCTGCAGCTGAAATTACACACACACACACACACACACACACACACACACACACACACACACACACACACACACACACACACACACACACAATCACAAAGACTTCTTTCTTCTTCAAATTGTTTGCTAAGCCAGAAGCAACCGTGGATCACTTGAAATGATGCACTAATCATCCCAGTTCCATTTTTCTTTCACCCTGATCACCGATCACAGCAGACTGTCCCTTTACTGCTGAGTGACGCTTGCTATAAGCACGTACTGCACCTAAGTGAATGAATGAATTAATGGGTGAGTGATGGATGGTAACAGCGGGAGGGGTGAGGCCCCTTGGTGGGATGAGCTCACCCATCTTCCTGCATCCACCTGCTGTCCTCTCTTCCTAGGGTGGCATGATAGCGCTGCTGCTGTCCATCTTGTGCCTCGTGATGATCCTGTACACTCGCCGGCGCTGGTGCAAGCGCCGCCGGGTCCCCCAGCCCCAGAAGAGTGCCAGCGCTGAGGCTGCCAATGAGATTCACTACATTCCTTCTGTGCTGATCGGCGGGCACGGGCGGGAGAGTCTGCGCAATGCCCGCGTGCAGGGCCACAACTCCAGCGGCACCCTGAGCATCCGGGAGACACCAATCCTGGATGGCTACGAGTACGACATCACTGACCTGCGCCACCACCTGCAGAGGGAGTGCATGAACGGAGGGGAGGACTTCGCCAGCCAGGTTACCCGCACCCTCGACTCCCTGCAGGGCTGCAACGAGAAGGCAGGGATGGACCTCACGCCAGGTGGGTGCCTCGGTCCTTGTCTCAGGGCACTAGAGAGTGGGTAGGGAACAGCTGTTTTCTAATTTCATGGCTGGTTGTCATACATAATGGGATGTGCCAGTGCCCTTTCCCGGGTGGGCAAGAAGCGTAAGCATTTTCCTGAGATGATGGGAGCCGTTTTCTAATATACGAAATCAGAAGAACAAGGGTGAATTGGATCCCTCTCCACTTCCACTTGGCACTGGAAGTAGAGGGACTTTTACGTCCAACAGAAGAGTGGGTTAGAGGCTTTTCCATATGTAATGAGCAATCCTCGGGAAAATAGGGATGTAGCAGAAAAGGTCAACGTGCGTGTGTGACATTTTTGTGTGTGGTATGTTTGTGTGGGCAATTCAATTTTCCATTGAAGTGGAGGGGACAGAGGTATCTTTCTTTTCTATGACTCCTGAGACTTTGGCCTGGGGTGTTTTAGTTGTGTTGTCTTGCCCATACCTCTGTGGTCTTTACAAGGGATGTACTTCTTCAAAGAAAATAAAGGAATACGATCAAACTGATTGACCTCAGATGCTTTGTGCATCTATGAGACACTGGGTGGAAGAGACTTGGAGCTAATGTGGCTGAACAAGACCAGAGTCGGTCAAATGCAGAGAGGAAATGACTGTACTTCTCATTTATAGCCGATCTCTCATACTGCTATAAATAACAACTATCTGTAGATAGAACCCCAAGACAATGATCCTTCAAGGAACTGCCCAATTATCTTTGAAGAAGACATTTTTGAAACTGAATATTGCTTAAGATATGTGGACTTGCTGTGGGGCTTGAAATCACATCATGGAGGTTTCCATTCTGCTTGTTATCTAGAGAAGATCCTATGACGAGGCATGTCTTAATAAGGTGTAAAGTCTAGACATTCCTTGAGACTAGGGGATGTGTCTTCAATATCTCGTATATTCCATAGCACCTGCCATCGTGCTAAGCCCACCAAGTAGCCATGTGATTAGAGACTCGGGGAGCAGGCAGATAGCACAAATACGTGAGAGAGCTGGATGTCAACAACAGGGAACGGAGCAGACTGGGATGAGAGAGAGGGGGCAGGTTCCGCCTGAATGCGCTCAAATTCAGATTTCTGTGAAACTCTGTGCTGACCAAAGGAAAGAAATCTGCAGTCTGTATCTCACCGAACGGCCACACGTGGTGACCCTATCAATACAGAATTGGTTGAATTGGATTTCCTTTCTTCACCCCTTCTCTCATAACTCTGTAGTCCCCTACAAATCAAAAAGAAGCATTTCAGTCTCTGCGAGTCTCTCACTTTAAAGCTTTCATATTTCAGTTTCTGTGAAACCCCACGTACTTGGTTCATGCAGATTTCCTTGCTCTCACTTTCTTCGGCCTTTTAAAGTTTCTGCCTTGGCCTTTCCTTATACAGGAAGCGACAATGCCAAGCTGTCGCTGATGAACAAGTATAAAGATAACATCATTGCTACCAGCCCCGTGGACTCCAACCACCAGCAGGCCACTCTGCTTTCTCACACCTCCAGTAGCCAGAGAAAGAGGATCAACAACAAAGCAAGAGGTACCCGCGTCTGGTGCTAGGGCTTGAAGGTGGCTTCCTTAATACCGGCAGGGGCAGGGCCTTGACCCCCACTCTCAGGCATCGCTAGAGGGGCTGTGTTTGGTCGCAGCCTTTCTACAGGCCTGTTGTGTGTTACTTAACCAACAAATTTAAAGGTATACACACCTTTTGACCAAGTAATTTTAGCAATGAGAATTTATACTTAGTAAATAATAATTGGACAAGTATGCAAAGATGTGTGTAAAAGGCTGTTCATCCCAACATTGTTTAAAAGAGCAAAAAATTGGAAGTAGCTTAAATGTCCGTCAATGGGGAATTGCTTAACTACCTGCACATCTGTCTCCCGGCCAGTGGCTTAACATGATACTATAGATCTATATTTGTTCATGTGGAAAGTTGCCCACCCATCTATTCAATGGGGAAAAATTAGGTTATAAAATAGAAGGTACAGCAGAATGCCATTTTTAAGGGGAACTTAAAAAACCTTTATCTGCTTCTGTATCAGGAAAAAGATGGAGAGTGTATTCATCAAATGTTAACAGAGTCTTTCTCTGACTTGGAGGATTTAGAGGACATCAGCCTTGTTCCTTTTAAACATGTGGGGGTCTTTTGTTTATTCTTTTCTCTCTTTTTCACATTGAATATATATTAATCCTAGAACCAGTTAAAAAATACAATATAGACATTAAGACATACAGACATATGCCCCTTAGGACATAATTCCAGCCTCTATCAACCAGAATCATGACGTGTAATGAGGGAAATTTCCCTTTCTTCCTTTTCCACGTACCGTCCACGATTGTCCTCTCTGGCAGGTGGCTCTCCTCAGTAGGAGCATGGGCTGGGTGGATGTAGGGCTTTAGTGATGGCTGTCATATCGAGGTCTCCTTCTCCAATAAATCTGTGTATCATCAGGAAGCTCCAATCCCTGTGGCTACTCCTCCCAGATTGTCAGTCACCCTGCTTGTGTTTTCCCCTTGAACTTGCCCAATGATTTGGTGTCATGAAGACAAAACTGAAGACACTGTTTTTGCCCTTGTCTTTTCATTACAGCTGGTTCCGCCTTCCTGAACCCTGAAGGGGATTCTAGCACAGAGGCAGAAAATGACCCCCAGCTGACCTTTTACACTGACCCCTCGCGGAGCCGAAGGCGCAGTAGAGGTAGGAAGGATAGAGGGGCAAAGTGGGGTGAGAGGGGCCATGGGGCGGGGAAGGCAGGCAGCTACAGAGGTGCTGGGTCAGGGAGGGGGCTCTGTGGACCAAAGCCAGTGTCCGCAGGAAGAATTCTTGGACCAAACTTGGTGTTTCCTCCTAAGGAAGAAAGAAGAGCCTAGAGTGGAAAATTTCAGAGAATCATCTCTCCCAGATAATGGCACTCTCAAACAAGTTTCCAAGTTGTTTGAAAGGCTATTTCTTGGTCAGAAGACTCTCAATTCCTTCTGGAAGCCTCGGGAGTCATATTTTGCTGTTTAGACACAGGAAATAAAGTTGATAAAGTGTGTTATATGTGAAAAAATAGACAGTATATTTACCCTCGCTTACCCAGCCATCCTGGGATTGAGTGAGGCAGAGCTTGGGGGGTGGGGTAGTTGAGGAACGATCTGTGGCCTGAAAAACATGCGAAGTGGTTTTTGACCTTTAATCCCCTGCCCAGCAGAATCACAGGACTCCCAGGGCCCAAGTCCCCTCCCTTCTCCTAGCAGGGCCCAGGTTGGTTTGTTCATTCTTCTCAGTGTTGATAGAGTTGTCCTTTCACGCAGCCACGGTCTGTGACTCTCCACCCTGATGTTCAGTGGCTTCAGGCATGGCTGTTGCAGCTGTGGCTACCAGTGCCTATGACTTTGTGGTCTCACCATCGTTACTGAGGGAGGTCTGTGTTCAGGCACCAAAAAAGCTTCAGCATTTACTTGCTGTGTGATACTGGATAAAGGCAACAACTTCTCTGAGCCGCAGTTTCCTCACATATTAAATGGGTTAACAATACCTCACGCATAGGGCTTAATTATATTAAAATGTGCCTTTTTGGTGACTGGCAAGGCACTATGAGATCTCTATTGTGTTGCTGTTAGAACTCTCCACAGTGCAGGCTTGGCTTTCTACAGCACTTCATCTTAAAGAATTTTAGACGGGCCCGTCGAGATACAATGGAGGGTATTTGAGTGATGTCATCTTGTGTGATAGCCAATAACATTTTCCCCAGCCAATAATCAACCAGTGCCGCCCCCCACCCAAAGACACCTACCTTTTGGCTGTCTCCCACCTCCATCTGAGTTCTTGACGTACTGAAGAATTCTTCCCAGAGATTGAAGGAAGCCCTGTTAATTCCTCAGTTCCAGTTCTGCAGGCTCTGCTGCTATCAGTACAAAAGTTCTTCCCACCACTTTTCTCAAGAGATCAGTGGGGCTCTGGGTTGCCTAATGTCTGGTGCCCCAGTATCCCTGAGGTGAGACTGTTGACTCTTGATGTTCATTACATATTTATATACAGCAGAGAGTCGTCCTAGGCCCATCCACCCTAGGCCACAGCAAAGCAGGGTGGGTTCTGCTTTAATAAAATCCCGTGTAAGAAAATCTATAGTAATGAATTAGAATGAGTTCCTTTGCAACATAAAATTGTTACTTTTAAATACCAAGGTCTCCTAGTACGTCAACTGTTTATTGCTTTTAACTAGACTGTAAGCTTCTTATGGATGGGCTTTTCTAATTTATTTTTCCAAAGTGCCTAGTGAGGGATTTTGCCTGTAATAGATGCTTGCCAGTGTTTGTTGAATTGAACTGGATACATCAATCAGGCCAGCAGGAAATTTTATAACCCACCTGTCATGGGTCAGGCTTTGTGATCAGTAGTAGAAACCTGAAAACATGGCACAGTGATAAGACTTAATTTAATAATATAAATAAAGTAGAACGAGTACTCAGAAGAGAGGAAAGTTAATTCTACCTGGCAGCAAAAGGAGGCAAAAAGGGAGAAAATAATTAGCCTTGGATTATATACAATGCATAGAATTTCTTGAAAGAGGAAAATCTAGGGGAAGGGGCATTTCAGTAGAGGAAAAGAGCAGATACAAAGCCTTGAAGGCACAAAAGAACATGGCATTTCCAAGCAAGTAAAAGGAGTTCAATGTGGTAGTTGTAATCCAGGATTTGAATATGTAGGCACACAGGGATAGGAGGGATGGGGCTGGATAACAGGCTAGAGGACCAGTGCACGCACGATGTTAATGGGTTTGCACTTGGTTCTGTAGGTCAAAGGGGACCGCTGGAAATTTTGAAGTTAGGTAGAGATTCTGGATGATGGGTTGATGATGCAGAAGGACCAGAGAGACAAGAGGCAGAGCAGCAAGTCATTTTGCCATCACAGGAGAGCAAGTGCCTGTAAACAGTGACTACACTGTGTGAGAAGGGCTGTAACAGCAGGGTGCACAAGGGTGGGAGGAACAGCAAGGAATGAGTGAGAATCGGTTCTTGAAGGTTTCAGGGAAGTGTTTACAGGGAGATATTGTTTGAGCTGAGACTTGAAGAGTAGGTGTATACCAGGCTGACAAGGTGACAAAATGGCATTCTGTGGAGGAGGAAATAGTATGTGCAGTCACAGGGACATAAACAATAATTGTCTAGTCAGAGAGCAGGAAATAGTTTACTAGAATAAAGCTTCTGGGGCAGCCTGTGGTCTGCTTCGGAAATAAGGCTGGAAGATCAGGAGATCTCCCTTGACTGAAGGACTTAGACCTGACACTTCAGCTGGAGTCACTGAAGGTTTTTTAAAGAGCAAAGCCCTGGTCTGCTCTGCTTTGTGAACGATCCCTCTAAGGCAGCGTGGAGGATAGGTGAGAGCAGGGGGAAGTTGAGGCAGGGAGACTGGGTGGATGGCTGTTGCCATAGTCCAGGGGTGAGATGATAGACCAAGGTAGGGATGCAGAGGATGGAGCAAGAGAAATTTGGGGCACAGAATGAAAAAAGATTTAATGGCATTGGTGGGGGGTGGGGGTGGCTTATGAAAGAGAGGGAAGAGATAGACATGATGGTGTTTGGGGACTTGAGGAACCAAGTAGACGGCAGTGCCATTCTCTGGGCAGTGGAAATGGTAGGGAGAGCAGGGTTGGAAGGAGGGTGCAGAGCCCAGTTTTGGATATCGCATTTGAGTGCCTGAGGGCCATTCGGGTGGCGGATCTGGGCGCTGCTCAGGCCTGGTATGGGCTGGAGGAAGAAATGTGTAAGTGTGGGAAATAGACTCCGTGTTGAAAGGGTACTAACATGAATAGAAAATCTCCAGGTAGCAAGGGACAGGGGATCCAGAGGCCACCTGCCACCCTGCAATCACTCCCTCCCAGCTATTGCCAACACACCCACTCAGGGGACCTGCTCCCAGAAAAGATGTGTGCAGCCATAGACCACATCTTTTCCCGTGTTCCTGAGAACGGCAATTGCAAAGACTCCACTGGACCCAGAGATTGAATAGTGAATTGTCTAGGGGCTGTAACCTCACTGGATCTGTGTGTTGATTCCAGCTCCCCTCCTTAGTAGCTGCTTGACCCTGGACATGCCCTATAGCCTCTCTAACGCACTGTTTCTGTGGGAGCTGCCTCATCAGGCTGTCATCGTTAAATGATATGCCCAGGTGTGAGACACGTAAGACACCTGATATGTCAGGTGTAAGGTGCCTGACAGGTAATTACACTTATTCATAAATGTTAACTATCACTATAAGGTTAATCTCTTTGAGACTTATTTTCCTTATCTATAAAGTGGGTAGGTACTGTACAGACTCATAGATTTATTGTAAGGAAGCAAATATTTAAAATAATGTATGTACAACACTTAGCACGTTGTCAGCCATAATAGATGCCTTTCATTGCTATCAATAATAAATATTAACACAGACTGTAAGAAAATTCCAAAGTATTCATACATTTGGTCGGCAGCTTGCTTTGCTTTCTTGCTTTCCCACATCTGTTCTGTTTCCATGTGAAAGGTCCCTCTTCTTACTACCATTTTATCCTCTCCACCAAAACCAAACAAACACCCCCAAAACCTCCCTTCTTAGCCCTTTCCTTAGCTACTTGGAAGTGTTTCTTATCCCTCAGCTTTCATATTTTCTCCCTAAGCTTCCATTTATAACCTTACCCCAAGGACTGCAGGACTGGGGAGAGCCTTCTGGTGTGACAATATCTTCTACTTGTATAGAGCAGACGTTCCTTGTTTTCCTCCTTCCAAGCCCTGGACTCTCACCCACAGAGTAGGTGAGAGGTAGTTTGAACCCCAGGAGTGGAGAAGCTGGTTGGTGAGAGCGCCCTCTGTGGAAAGCCATGGGAAGTGCAGGGAGTTCCAGCGTAGGGTAAAAGCATTCCCACCGCCCTTGGGCAAGAGGTTGGAGCCCTGCCAGGCGAGTAGAGGGGGACAGTGCCCTCCTTTATGATTTCTCTTGTGACCTGGCCCAGGAGGCATGCAGAAGACTTGCTCACAGCTGACCATTGTTGACTCTGAGGACCACCAGCGGCCCAGTCCCCTCCTACACCAGGCGATGACATGGTGTTCCATGAGGGTGAAAGTCACTGAGCTCACGCACTAGACACATTTCCCACCTGGGCTGGGTTTGCCAACTGCCTCCCCTGTTTTCCAGGTTGAGCAGCAAAAGGCCGAGATGGCCCTTCACTACCGAGATTTTTCCCATCAAGTGTCTTGCTTTTGCCTTGTTTTCAGTGGGCTCTCCCCGAAGTCCTGTGAATAAGACCACCTTGACCTTGATCAGCGTCACCAGCTGCGTGATCGGCCTTGTGTGTTCCTCTCACGTCAGCTGCCCTCTCGTTGTCAAAATCACCCTGCACGTCCCCGAGCACCTGATCGCTGATGGTAAGTCCACCTCTGAGGATGCCACCTCTGCTCCTCCCCCGAGAAGAATGTTTCAGGGTGGGCAGGGAAAATATAGACAAGCCAGGGAGCCCTGTTACCTATTAGTGAGGAAAAAATAAACCTGGATAAGAAAGACTTAGGACAAAGTTAGATCGTCCACTGATGAAATCAGAAAGCAGGTTAAAAAAAAAAAAAAGAACAGATCACCTCCTCCTTTCTATGCCCATTTCCCATTTCTGTTTGTTTTTAATTAAGCACCTGTCTTTGTGGATAAATGCAGGGCATACTGGCTATAGGTACATAGACACCAAGATTCTCTTAGCCTTTGAATGGGGAAAAGCTAAGTGGAGTAGTAGAATGTTTAAGCGTTAGCCACGTTTCCATTTGATACGCCTGGTGAGAAATTCCTAATTGCAGTAACTTGCTATGAGCCTAGAACTCTGAAGCAATAATTTACTTTCATCCAGGGGGACCCTGACATAATGAGGGAATAATATACATTCTGAGAGTCCCTGAATTAGTTAAACCCAGAGCACCTAATTGACTTGTTAATGTCTGTTCTCTTGGTTGCCGTAAGGCTGAAAACAGGTGGGGACTGTCTGGAGTGTTAGAGGGCCTGCTATTTATTTTCATGGCAACTGAAGACAGGCAGCAGGTCTCCATTCCTTGGACGACTGCCAGGGTCTGATGGAGCCGTGCCACGGCCATCACAGAGCTGCTCTGTCCCTGTATCCCTTGGGTCCACACTAGTAGACATGGGATGGGACAAGGCAGCAGGGGATGATATGGCGGGAGATCCAAGTGTTGGCCGAGTCTCCATCCGCTGATCCCTTGCTCTGTGACTCGTGGCGGGCCAGGGTTGGTAGAAGTAATGACCTCGGGTGGGGGCTAATCTGCAGAGCATTGCTCAGCCTGTCTTCAGTAATGTGTGTGTGTGCTGTGGGCACACACGGGCATGCCTCCTCTCTCTCCCCCTGCAGGGAGCCGCTTCATCTTGCTGGAGGGGAGCCAGCTGGATGCCAGCGACTGGCTGAACCCTGCCCAAGTGGTTCTCTTCTCTCAGCAGAACTCCAGTGGGCCCTGGGCCATGGACCTTTGTGCCCGGCGGCTCCTGGACCCCTGTGAACACCAGTGTGACCCCGAAACTGGTAGGCGGGAGCACCGGGCAGAGGGTAACTGTCAGAGTTCATGCCTCTTGCAACTACCCCTCAAAATCCAGGCCATCCCTCCCAACTGACCCATTACCCCTGGGAGCCGAGACTGTGCAAGCTGGCAGCATGTGGGTGAGCCCCTGAGCTCGCTGGCTTAAAACGTGAGGTCATCTTCTGGCAGAAGCCTTGGAAGCCTCCTAACTGTAGCCCCAAGCCAGACAGATCAGCTCGCTGTGACCTCCACAGCCCATGTGCCCTCCAGTCAGGGGATGTCAGCCAAGGGGGCTAAACTTTTATGCATGTTTATTGTAGAAAATATGGGGGGCTTCCCTGGTGGTGCAGTGGTTAGGAATCCGCCTGCCAATGCAGGGAACATGGGTTTGAGCCCTGGTTCGGGAAGATCCCACATGCTGCAGAGCAGCTAGGCCCGTGCGCCACAACGATTGAGCCTGCACTCTAGAGCCCGCGCACCTAGAGCCGGTGCTCCACGATGAGAGAGGCCACCGCAATGAGAGGCCCGCGCACGGCAATGAAGAGTAGCCCCCGCTCACCGCAACTAAAAAAAAAAGCCCACGTGCAGCAACGAAGACCCAATGCAGCCAAAAATAAATAAATTAATTAATTTAAAAAAAATGGGAAAATTAGAAAAGCTTATAGAAGAAAATAATAATCATCTATAATTCTATCTCCTGCAGAAATAATTTAAAAAATTTAATGTCTTTCCTCCCTTCCGATCTTTTATCTATGCCTGATTCTTAGAGGCTTGTAAGCACACCAAGTCCAGTAGAGTTGTCTTGATTTTTTTCACTTAACATTCTATCATGGGAATTTTCCAGAACCACTAAATAATCCTCAATAACGTAATTCTAATGGCCATTTGGTGTTCCACTGTGTGTCTATATCATAGCTCCTATTTAAATAGTCCCCTATTATTTGACATGTAAGACGCATTAAATTTTTAATTTTTATGAACACTACTAAAATGAATATCTTTCCACATAAATGTAGGGCATGTTTGAAGTTATTTTATTCAGATAAGTCTCAGAAGAGAGATTACTGGGTGAAAGGGTATAGCCATCTTTCAGGCTGTTATATTATCTAGGGGGGCTGGGGCTGCTCTGAGAGAAGGGGTTTGAATTCATACACAGCATGTACTGGGGTGCTCTCAGTGCTTCTTGGGCTCCAAGGAGTATGGCTCCTTCATCCCAGGTTGCTTTGCCCTTTCATTGTAGAAGGGGTTCCTCTATGGTAGTCTTTATAAAGACCTATTTCCAGTAGGTTCAGTACCACAGATAGCTCCTTCCCAGAGGAGTGGTAAGATGCCTAAGAAGCAAGGAAGGGGAGGTACTGATGTCTAAGATCCCCAAGTGAAACATTGCTGGAGTCTAGGGCCAGCTCTTCCAGCTCTCTATACCTCACTTACAGCCCCCCTTCTCCACACACACACTCTCTCTCACTCTCGCGCGCTCGCTCGCTCTCTCTCTCTCTCTCTCTCTCTCACACACACACACACACACACACACACACACACACACACAGATGCATCATTTTAAGGTGCCGGGGTAGAAGGATATTAGAGGTTGACTCCAAGAGATCTAGCTGTTACTTGTGTTACAGTCCATTGCTGTAGCTCTCTGGGGGAGTAACAGGTAACTGCAACATCAAAAGTTCACCTTCATAGGTCTAAAAGTTGTTGTTACGTGGGCCCATCACAGAGATTCTAGGTCCCCCTATGAAGGAGAAAGTACAGCATTTTAAACATATGATGTCTAAGACTGTGCTTACTTGCTGCTCCTCCCACGCTGTCAGGCAAACACCAAACTAGACAGATGGGCCGTGCACCATGCCCAAAAGCCAGTGGGCTCGGGAGAGAAAAGCAGGCTCGTCTCAGAGGTGGGGCCTCTCCATGCAACTGAGCTAGTCTCTGGTCCCCTCTGACTTGGATTAGGAGACCCTGGACCTCCTCACTTGTTAGACTCGCTTCTGAGAGAAGCGTGATCTCCAGAGGGCCTTGGAAGCTTCACCTGAGGTTTTTAAAGAACAGGAAGCACTTTGAATTACAGGTGGAAAGAGGGATTGGTGTTTTAAGCTTGGAGGGTCTTAGAGATAAACTCCTCCTTCCTTTAGGTCAATGCTCAAATTCCCCAAGAAGTTACACGACTTGCCCGAAGCCCCACAGCTACCTAAGGCAGAGTCGGTGTTCTGTCTACCATGAAATCAGAGCAGAAGTGGGATTGTAAAGGGTTGCTTAATTCCCCCGGACAGGTCAGAGCCAACGTATTTGTCACTGTGACACTATTCAAGCAATCACCGTTGCTAAGCATCACTGTTTCCTGAGCCAGAAGCTGAAGAACCTGCTTGTCCATAGCAAAGCTCCCATCACCTCTTCAATCCCTCCTGGATGTCTCATTTCTAATCCTTACTGAAAATGACTTTGGGAAGCCCCTCCCCAGCTAGTGGCTTCCCAGTGTCTGTGACAATTAATGAATTTCCAACTGGAAAGCCAGGGAGAGAGGTTAAAAATAAGAACCCACCACAGAACTAAGGTGCGACATCTTCATTCCGGGGTAGCCGCTGAGAAATGATACTGCAGGGACTTCCATTTTCATTAATGCTGGGGTTGGAAACCCTCCCCCTTCCTGCCCTGCTTCTGTCTGTGCCTGGGATGATGTGGCCATCCCACGTGCTCGTCAGTAAGAAACTTTATCGCCTCCCACACTCCATCCTAAAGCCTTTCTCCAAAGAGCTGAGTGTGGGCATTGGCTGCAAGTCAAGTCGACGTTATTTTTGCAGTCCTCCAGCTAACTCACTTGGAAATGTCATGGTGTTGGGACATGTGCTTTCCCAGCCATGCCGAGGGGTCTGCCCACATGGATGGGTGGAACTGTGCAAGTACACGTGTATACTTTTTCACACATGCAAACAAACACACAAACAGGCGCTCAGTCACTGCAAAGGAGCACCCTCCAGTGCCTGAAGCTCTCCTCAGGCATCCTTCCAACGTGTTTCAAACTTAAGTGTGTGTTTACTCGTCACCTGCACAGAGGTCCAGAGTACCAGGTATGGTAGGAGGCTAAATGGGCCCCCGAAGATGTTCATGACCTAATCCCCAGAACCTGTGAAAATGTCACGTTACCTGGCAAAGAGGAATTCAAGTTGCAGATGGTATTAAGGTTGCTAGACAACTGATCTTAAAATAAGGGGAGTATCTGGATTAACCAGGTGGGCCCAATGTAATCACAAGGGTGCTTAACAGTGGAAGAGAGGGGCAGAAGAGGCCAGAGTGATACGACATGAAAAGGACTCCACCAGCCATTGCTGGATTTGAAGGTTGAGGAACCAGTGAATGTGGGCATCCTCCAGAAGGTGGAAAAGGCAAGGACACAGATTCTCCCCTCAAGTCTCCAGAAAGGAACATAGCGCTACAGACATCTTGTTTTTAGCCCAGTGAGACTCATATCAGATTTCTGACCAGCAGAACTGCAAGATAATATATTTCTGTTGTTTTAAACCACTGAGTTTGTGATAATTTTTTATGGCGGCTATAGAAAACTAACACACTAGGGAAGGAGAAAAAGGACAGAAGAAAAATAAGCATTGTTATGCCCTCTTTATATCAATCACCCTGGCACAGTTTATAGAAGGTGGCTGCCCAGACCTTCTGCAGATGTGTCAGGCATCTACGGAAGGACTGGAGCTGGAAGAGACTTGAGACCATTTTCCACTCAAGCCTCCCTTTTGCATTCTAGCAACGTGCTATCTGGGAGGGACGTAATGTACCTAAAGCCCTTAGCCCGGAAGCCCTCTGCCAACCGCACACTGACATCCTCTCTCAGATCATCCTAGGTTAGTAACCCTGGGTGTGTCTCTGGTCACGTGGGGCTAACAGCAAACCACTGAAACTGTAATGCTTAATGCCCGGATGGATCCAGCCAGGGGTTGTCTTTTCCTGTACTTGCTAAGGGTTTTTGTGGTGGTTGTATGTTGGCTTGTTTTCTGAGGGCAACACAGACTAACTGGCCTAAGCAACTTCTCTTTCTTCTGCATTCCTGGCCTTTATTCCGCCATGTGGGCAGCTGTGGAGGCTTCACACACCTGCTTGATTTCACAGCCCCCTTCAGTTCTGGCCACAGACCCTCACTGCCCTTTTCAAGATATGTAGCTTTTATGAGTCTGCAAGGAGCATGCACTTCCAAGCTAAATCAAGTTTTAATCACCATCCAAGATGGTCACTGAAATTCCTTCTGTCCCAGATCTTTCCATAGGCTGGCCCCAACCATGAAGAAATGTGTAAAATCTGGTGAGGGGCATTGGATCAGTTTTCCAGACTCACTCTAGCCCTCCTCCCCTTTCCTTACTCTGAATAAGGGCCTCTCTCTCTCCCTGTAGTCTTCCCGGGTTTTTAGAACCTAGTTAGGTGGGGTAGCACAGCTCCCATTTTGTTCCTGCCACCTGGATTGCCCACTCATCCCAAACTCTCTTGTGGCTCAATTAAAGCACCTCCCTTCAAGGTGTACTTTTGGCCTATTTCCCTCTGTCTGCCCTCCCGGAGTCGTGTGGGGTTGTTTGACTCTGAGCCTACCTCTTGCCTGATGTCTGCCCAGGAGAGGAGACCAGGCAATTAGATAGTATTCAAGCCCAGATGTCTGACAAAGATTTCCCTTTTGGGATGAAGCGTACCCAATTGACTTTAATAAAAGTCAACTGCTACCTGAAGGATGGAGGTGATCAGGACTTTTGGCCTTGATCTGTAGTTATGTCACGAAGAACTTGTGGGTGAGCCCAGTCATGTCTGAGGAGGCCTAGCTTCAAGGTCTTTCTTCAGTCGTTCGATGAGATTTGTGCCCCATCCATCTATGGAATGGGAAATGACTGGAAGGCACTGCGTGTCAGCATCTGCCTTCAGGGTACCAAGCACAGATCCAGTGTAGGCATCTCCAGGCCCTGCACAGATCATCTCTTGGGTGGGCTTCTACTCTCTGGCAGCGTCGTTGTCTGTGAGTGCCTCCTGCAGGGCACGCTCCATCCCAGTTGGGCACTTCTCTGTGGCCGTGACACGTCTCTCTGTTGGATTCCTATGAACACCACCACAGAGTCGGCACGTCATGTGTTCCCTGCCATCTGTCACAGCAGATGCAGAGACTGTAACACTTCTAGCTTAGGAGGGCATCCAACACCCTTGTGGGGTCTTTAAAATTCACAGCTAACAGTCAGAGCCTGTGCTTGCACGAAACCCCTCTTAAAGTCAAGATTTAGCAGTTGGTTGCCATAGCAACTTCCCTCATCAAGTCTGAACTCCTTTCAACGTAGATGGCCAGACTGGTTTTGAGGAGGAATACAGAAGAGGGAAGTTTGGTGAGTTCCGGAAATGAGGATGATTTAAGAGACGAATTTTGGAAATCCTCAAACTCTAACATGATATGTTTGAAAAATGTCTCTGTTGCTCTGACTCCGGGCTGCGTATAACATTATATGGAGGAAAGCTTTACTTGTTGTCAGTAGTGTGTCCCCACATAGTAATGAATGATGGAAATCTCATCAGGGGATAATGACTGTGAAGGCAATTTGAGAAAGGTAAACGTGCTCTACAAATGGTAGATATTGCCAGCATTAGGAAAATCAAGCTCTGCTCGAGCTCTGAGTTGTTACTGCATTTATTTTTACATGTGTTGTGGTAACTAGATATCAGGTGTGGAAGGTGGACTACCTTTTTTGTCAAAGCCATCCAGTTAAGAACATTGTAAGAGTCAGACTGATGGGTTTGACAACCTCTTGAGATTCCTTCCTGTTTTGTAATATCATATCCATGCCTAATGTCCACAAGGAAATTGAAAGATGATCTCCTTAAGGGCGAATCATTTCTGGGTCCTTGACCCATTAGTTGGCTTGATATTGGCACCTTGGGGAGAGGTGGTGGTGATGGTATCTATAAATTTGGGACACACTCTTTAATTAATTTGTTTATTTTCCATTACACAGTATTTATAAAAGGTCTCCTCAAATATAGGAAAAGCTAGCTTGTTCCTGCTCTTGTGCAGCTTATAGCCTAGAGTCCATGCTTTCTTTGGAATTGATACGGTATGAAGCCTGGCTCCTGGTACTTCCCTTCTTTTGCCCTCCTCTGGTCCTTGCCCTCGTTATCTTTCCTTCTATCAGAGAAACAGCCTTCACCTGAAAGCCTTATCATCAGCTACCGAATTTTCCGCTGTGTTTTCCTATGTTCGACTCCCAGCTCCCAGACCGCTCCTAGATACAGCTCAGCACCACTGAAGCCAATAAGTTTCACCCTATTGTGAATCTAACCTGCAAGGAAGCTTGAGTTTGTCATACAGGAGGCAAAATACTGATCTAACACTCCCTGTGGATCCCTCACAAACTAAGTTACTCATTTCGACTGCACTCCTCAGCACCTTGACTGAGCAGGTGTTGGAGAGGAAGACGAGTGTTATCTGTTAGTGAGACCCTGATGGACAGTAGCTTATAGGTCAGTCTCAACAAGAACGGATGCACTCAGATCCTAACAAAAACTTCTTGCTCAGAGCCTACCCAGTCCTTGCCCCCATAACTGTGAGGCCCCTTCACTTCATTTTTACTGTTTTTTATCTTTGAAAAGAGAAAATAGCTCTCAAAGGTATTATTCCATCTATATCCTTTTTGAGTGTTTCTTCCCAGGAAGATAAAGAAACCTTATCCTTTGTCTCCCTAGGGTCTGGCACCTTTGTAACTTCCAAATTTTAGGAAGTCACACTCCGTTCTTCCACTACCTATAAATTAAATAACCAGCCAGTGAAAAAGACAGTAGCGGTGCTTCAGTGGAACTGGTTTCAGCAGCTTAGGGATATGTAGCATCGCCTAAGGAATTATTAATATAAGGAAGCAGTTGCAATTTTCTTCAAAGTCAGACTAAGTAGAGCAATGCTTCTTAATCTTTTGGGGGTCTTGGATTTGCTTATAAATCTGATGAATGTTATGGAGGCCTGCTCAGGAAAGATGCACATACACATATGTACAGTTTCACATACGACTCCAGAGGGGTCGTGGACCTCTTGGTACACTGTTGAAGTAAGTAATGATAATGAAACATAGCGATACCCTAAACAAACATAGATGATTCTTCTGTTTATCAGCACCAAGGTAATGAGCCATTTTCACTTAAAAATAAAAACCCAGAGTTCTTATAAGACTGTGATAGGTATAAGTGGCCTCCTCTAAATACAGCAGTTGTTCTTGGGCTAGCAGCATGGCCTGGTTGGGAAAAAAGGTCTTGAGTCAGACAGACATAGGCTCAAATATTAACTCTGCCATTTAAATCTGTCTCTAGATCCCGTAATTCTTCTGAGCCTCGATTTCCCTCATCAGGATAGCATGGCTAATCATATGTACTTTTCAAATTTCTTAGAAACACTTGATGAAATAACTCACTTATGTGGTCTTCAAACATGTGTTGATCATCTAATATGTGTCTTGCAGTATACTGGCCACTGAGAAAATAACAATGAAGGAGTCCCTTTGCTCAAGGAGTTCTTGGACTTTGTGTCTGCAGAGCACATGTAATAGGTGCTTTGTAAACGTTAGTGTCCTCAACTAGTGAAAGTTATCACATAGTGAAAATGGAGAGGTTGGTGGTGTGTTCCTTCACGTGGGCAGTGGAGATGGGCATGTGTGGCATAATAGGATTTATGGTCTCATCCGTGCCAGTGTTAGTTTGATGTGATCATTTCATATTAATTTTCTCCAACACAGACATGTTAATCAATTTCTTCTTGTTTCTTTTTCTTCTTCCTCACCCTGCTTCTAAGGGGAATGCCTCTGCTACGAGGGTTACATGAAGGATCCAGTGCACAAGCATCTTTGCATTCGGAATGAATGGGGAACCAACCAAGGGTAAGTGAGGTGATGGCGAGTTAGCCAGTTCCCGGACGTCACCGCTCCCTCACGCGGACGTGACGTGGAGCAATTGTGTGGAGAGGGACAGAGCTAAAGGGTGGTTCTATTCTGAACAGCAAACAGATGAACGTGTCACTGTGCGTTTCCATGTTTACACCATCCCAGTGGTGTCCATCTCATCTTCCTCTCCATTTACGAGTTCAGAGGTGATGCCTCTGACTCGCAGCCCCAGGCCTCCAGCTGGGATCTGGGAATCAAGCTGTCCCTCTCTTCCTTTTCACACCGCCATCAGCCACGAGAATTCCACAGATAGAACTTAGCTGATGATTTTGTTGGAGACACGTGAAGTCGCACACACTCCAGTGTAGCTCTCCCAGAGCTCAACGAGCTTTGCAAGACTGATATGAGTGGAAACTTGTTTTCACCAGTACTGTCAGAGAGGGTGAAATGCAACGACTCAGGGAGTGCTTGGCATTGAGTCAAAGGATTTTCACCTGATCTCCAATTACCATTTCTTGTAAGATCTTTGCTTTTCCCCAAGCACAGACAACTGGGATAAAATAGTTACCTTGTCTATTGCTTTATATTTTATTCATTTTACTTTTTTTGAATTTTTTCATGGAGAAAAAATATACATAAGATAAAAATGATCATTTTCACCATTCTTAGGTGTACAGTTCAGTGGCATTAAGCACGTTCACATTGTTGCACCACCATCACCACTATCCATCTTCTATTGCCTTTTTTTTTTTTCTTTCCGGTATGCGGGCCTCTCACTGTTGTGGCCTCTCCCGTTGCGGAGCACAGGCTCCGGACGCGCAGGCTCAGCGGCCATGGCTCACGGGCCCAGCCGCTCCGCGGCATGTGGGATCTTCCCAGACCGGGGCACGGAACCCGCGTCGCCTGCATCGGCAGGCGGACTCTCAACCACTGCGCCACCAGGGAAGCCCTTCTATTGCCTTTTAAAAGCAACTTCCTACTTTGTTTTGGGTGCTGAGAGATTACTTTCTGCCTTGGCTGGGTTGTGGAGGAGGGTGTGAGAAGACAGGGATCAATGAACGCTAACTAATAATAGCAATCAATGGGACAGGGGAAACTAGAAAGAAATCAAGGCAAAAGCCACCTCGGGGCTTCCCTGGTGGTACAGTGGTTGAGAGTCTGCCTGCCGATGCAGGGGACATGGGTTCGTGCCCCGGTCTGGGAAGATCCCACATGCCGTGGAGCGGCTGGGCCCGTGAGCCATGGCCGCTGAGCCTGCGCTCCGCAATGGGAGAGGCCACAACAGTGAGTGGCCCGCGTACCGGAAAAAAAAAAAAAAAAAAAGCCATCTCGGAGTGATTGCTTAGACTGCAGAGTGGAAATGTGTTTGTAGCCTGGCAAGGTGGAGAAAAGAAATCACCGTCCCTTCCCACGGCATCAAGGAGGACTCCTAGCCCTGAGTTCGATGCTCAACCTCCTCTCTATGATTCGGAGGAGCCCAAGCCTAGAATACTGAATGTGGTTCTGGACTCTCAAAGCAATAAATAGGGAGAAAAATGGGTGAGAGTTTGGAGAAGAGCAATAAAAATGATTGCAGAGCCCAAAGGAGTGATTTATGATGAAGGGGAAGAAGAACCCCACTCAGAGAACTTGACCAGCTGATAACTAGGTCATGGAATGATAGATGCCTGTAGATGTTCGAAGAGGGCAGATGTGCTGGAACAGGTTGAAGTTGAGGGATAAGGACAAGAGAGAATGAAGTTAAGGAAAGGAAATCTGAGTCACAGGTCAGAAAACTTGGGGGAAGTCAAAACGCCATGAAATTTTTCTGTTAGTGAAAATGAAGGATGGCTCCGTTGTTCCACTGAATCTGTGATCTTATCAGGGAGGCAGTCCACAAAGTGTAGAGGAAGATGTTTGGAGAAGGGTAAATGCATATGAGGTGGCCGGTTGTTGAAAGATTGGTGGGAAGGGCAGAGAACTTGGCTTATAGATGCCAAGTGGAGTTTGAATAAAGAGTGCCATTTGCTATGGTTATGTAAAGTCAGTTCAGTCCCCTTACGCTCTGCCCTCTGACATGTTTGCATAGTTGCCAAGGAGCCAAGATTTTAGCTTATGTGCTGGCCGAAAATCTCAGTTGACTGTGATTCATATTGAGTAAAATATTGGAAAAGGTGATGGATAACCAGCTCTCTGTCTCTTAGCCTGCATACCTGCTGCTGAAGTAAACAATGACAAAAAATCATTTCACTTTTGTGCCCTGAATGATCCAGGCTGGCTCTCTGCAGTGATTGGATTTGGTGGCTAATCGCTCAAGCCTCCACATCCCTTGCCTTGTAGACAGATCATGTGACGATGGGCCTGACTTCACTGGGTAATTGCACAAGGCTTCATCATTCCCTCTGGCTGTGTGTAGAGACAGTCTTGGATGTAGACAAGAGCCTCCAGGGAAATGGTGGAGGCCCCACGTTGGTGTCATTTAAAATAAGACAGGCTAGAGCCCTGAGTTAGAGACTGACAGGAACATTAGCCCCAGGAAACAGACAAGGAGACCTAATCTATCATTTCCATCTCTAATTTCCATTATTCTCTGATCATCACTGTCTATAAGGTCTCATTTTGGACACTAATAAAATAATGGAGCAACTGTTAGGAGGGAAAAAAAGTGACTGTCATGAGAATAATGGAACCAGGAGTGATAAGCAGCATGTTTACATGTATATAAAAAAGTGCCAGACAAAGGACTGCATCTTCCTCATAAAATGACAAGATAAATGAAAAGTAGAACATTCATACATCTTGATTTAAATCAGCGATCGGATGCCACGTTTCTTTAAATGATTCTTACAAAATTAATGAAAATTGATTTGAACGTGAAGACTGTCACTTGAAAAGTACAGATTGCTAACTAATGACACGTACTGGGGTATTATGGAAAAATCAGTGGCAGGCCTGATCTTCCTGAATGTTTTATTTAATGGTCCGGGAGGGAGAGGTGAACAGCTTGTGTGGGTGTTTATGTTTGTCACTTAGTATTCTATATTGCATACATTAAAGTAGCTGAACATGCTTTTGAAGTCGAACAACCCAATCCTAGGCCAGTGAAAGTTAAAATGAATTCCCTTGTGAAAATCTAGGTTAATGTACCAGGACAGAAGTATCAACAAGCAGTCGTGACTTTCAGACAAGGAAGAAAATTGGTCAAGGACATTAATACAAAAAATTACAAATGGATGATTCTGGGAGACAGAGGAGTTATACCTGCAGCTTTATCCAGACTCTGCTTTGTGCTTCAGTTTACCTGGACCTGTATGTGTGCGTGTGTGTGTGTGTATGTGTACATGAGTGAGCTGGTTTATTTATAGAAATCCTCTCCCCACCCTACTCCTTCATCTACTCTCTCACTCATTCATGTTTTCAGCAGATATTCACTGTATTACCCATCGTGGCCCAGGATAAAGTAGGTTGCTAATTATAAGAAAATGTTATCTCTGCTCTGGAAGAACTAATAGTCTAGAATAGATAGATGGGCACCTAACAAGAAAATTACAATGAATTCTAAAACCTATTAAAATAAAGGTTTGAGCAAAGTTCAGTGGGATTACAGTTTGACTCATGTGACATCTAAGGATCTGGAATAGGATTTCATGAGGAAGTTAGATCTTGAACTGTTCTATTTAACAGGTCACGAAGGTAATTCTAGGCAGAAAGAACAGCATATGCCAAGGCATGGAGGCTTAAGAAGCATGGTTTTTCCAGGAATGGCAAACAAATAACTCAGGGTAGCTCATGGGTGCAGTTTATAGAGACAGGAGAAGAGGCTGATAAGGTGGGTAGAGACTAGATCTTAAAGAGCTCTTGCTTACTAAGGCTTTGAACCTTAAAGCTCCATGTGTACACCCCTGGAATTGTCAGCAGGAGGTGTCTGTATATGTGGAGGGCTGTTCCGTCACTACACATTATTTTTCTGGACCCTTCAGAAGAAATTAAAACGATCCTAAAAAGAAAACAAAAACCAACACAAACGCACAAAAAAAAACCCTCTCAAGGCTAAGGTTTTATTTATCTGGATCCTGCGAATAAAGCAGCCTTAAAATTATCCTGTAGATAAAAGTTTTGAAGACCAGACAGCAAAGAGTGACAGAAAATTGGGGACCATAGGTACAAGACATGTGAATCGAGGGGGTTGCAGCCATTTTTGGTGACTCTGGTTTTGCCAGAAATGCCCAAGGAGAAGCGAGGCTAGTTGAGAAATTCGTGTGTGAATCTTGGTGATAAAGCCAGCCACTGTAGTTTACCCAGGTGACAGGATTCAGGGTGGCAGGTTGTAAAATCACTGAACTCATTACAAAAGAGGGTCTGATTCACTAAAAGTAAAAATAGCTTCAAAAAGATTTAAACAAAGTCATGGATGACAGACTTCTAATGAGTTATTAAAAGAACATAGGATGCTTGAGGTTACATCCTTGGTCTCTGAGGTTGGCAACAAAATCAATCATTGCCTGCCCTAGCACCCTTGGTGACCCAGGTGCCCAGCAGAGGACCCGGGATGGAAGGATCCCGCCCTGGTGCAGGGCTTCACCACATCTCTGTCTAACCTGTGTGAATCCACAGCTGCTCAGCCTCCCAACCCTGTGGCTTCATAGACACAGCCAGGGACTGTTAGTGTCTCTATGTGATATTTGTCTGCTAGGACAACAAGGACAAATTAAAAAATTTCACAGATAAGAAATGAAACCAATAAATGAGGGTGGAGGAGGCAAGAGAGGTGATTTACGTGAAAATATTAGAAGAGAAAAAACAAATTTATTTAGTTACTTTGGAGATTATTAAGAAAGGCTCTAATAATGTTTTTTGTTAAATTAAGAGTATACCCAGTGGCCTCTAGATACATTTTTCAGAACACCACAGTCAGATTAAATTCATGCATTTGAAGATTCCCGGTAAATAATAGACTGATTTCTTATTCTGGCATCTCAGATACAGAGGGCAATACCAAGGAGATTCCCCACTAGAGA